TAATTTAAAATATTACTGAGATATAACAATATGAATGAATCTCACAGAATGATAATTTAATGAGAAGTCAGATGCAAAAATGTACAGTCCATTTATAAATATCCATGTATAGAAGTTAGAAAACAGGAAGAAGGAATCCATAGTGATAGAGGTGAGAATGGCGGTTACCTTTAGCAGGGGCACACTAAGTGGGATATTGCTCAAGGGAACCTTTCTAAGCCCTGGGAATGATCTGTATGGTGATTGCATGGGTATGTATATAAAGGTTCAAGATATATACCTAAGATTTGTGGACTTGACTCGGTAAGTCTCCCATCAATTTGAATAAATAGGCTATGAGAAGTATTGCCATTCATTCTGTCTATCCACAGGGAACGCTACTCTGTTTTTATTGCTTTATGTGTCCGTTCATTTAACTTGTTTGTTTGTTTGTTATTTGAAACAGGGTCTCGCTCTGTTGCCCAGGCTGGAGTGCAGTGGCACAATCTTGGCTCACTGCAACCTCCTCCTCCCAGGTTCAAATGATTCTTGTGCCTCAGCATCCCGAGTAGCTGGAATTACAGGCACGTGCCACCACACCTGGCTAATTTTTTACTTTTAGTAGAGATGGTGTCTTGCCATGTTGGCCAGGCTGTTCTCAAACTTCTGACCTCAAGTGACCCGCCCACCTTGGCCTCCCAAAGTGTTGGGAATTAAAGACGTGAGCCACCACACCCGGCTCATTTAACTAATTTAAAATAACATACAGTTCTCCATTTCTCACCACTGCACACATTTGACAGATTTTATAGCAGTAACCCTAGCTCCTAGTACAACAGGGGTTACAGTTGGAAAACAGCCTTTGATCAACCCTAAACACAAACATGGTACATATCTCTTCTTTTCCTCACAAAGCCTGGGTCTTAGGCTGCTCCTGCTCTCTTGTGTCTTTTCCCCATAGAGGGGTTAATTGGCAAACCTACTGAAATTTTATGTCATTTCTTTGGAAAGTACATATGTACATTTTTCTTCCATATTTTCTCTACACAAAGACTTTTAATTTGCACTTCTTCTTCCACTTATTTTTGAGTGGCCCTTGAATAATTCCTTTAGCTTTGTTAAGCCTAAGGTTTAATGCTTAGAAAATGTGTAGGCATTTATTTTATGTGTTTTAAAAGACTAAATTGTGAAGTGCTGACCGCATAAATGTATCACCAAATGGTAGAAGTCAACAAAGAAGACAGTTTGATTCATTCAGTGTCTAGATGAGAAGTGATTGTTTCTTGACCTTTTGGCTAATATCAAGTATAGATGGAAAGTGAATTTTTTTTCCTTTTTTTTTTTAAAAAAAGAGGTCTCACTCTGTCACCCAGGCTGTAGTGCAATGGTACAATCTTGGCTCACTGCAACCTCCACCTCCGGGGTTCAAGCAGTTCTCCTGCCTCAACCTCCCCAGTAGCTGGGATAACAGGCACACACCACTATGCCCGGCTAACTTTTGGTATTTTTGTGGAGACGGCGTTTCACTGTGTTGCCCAGGCTGGTTGCAAACTCCTAATCTCACGTGATCTACCCTCCTCAACTTCCCAGAATGCTGGGATTACAGGTGTGAGCCACCGCACCTGGCAGGGAAGTGAATTTTATGAAATTTGGACTTCAGTTAAAGCAGCCTTTAGACTGTGAGGAGTAGAAACTTAAATGCATTTATTAGAAAAGAATGATTAAAAATAAATGTAAGTGAAATGTATTTTTAACACTGGAAACTTTATGAAGATTAGTTAAGCTAACAAAGATAGTGTAAGCAAAGGAATAATGAACAAGATATTGGCAAAACAGAAAAAAATGAGCTAACAGGTCAGAAACTAGTTCATTACAAAGACCATTAAGGAACAAATATTTGGCAAATATGTTGAAGAAAAAAGCAAAGCATAAATACCATTAGGAATAAAGAATAATAATTGCAGATATAAAAGGATATTTTAAAATAAGATTTAAAAACTTATATAAAAAGACAATTTTAAGGAAAATACAAATTATCAAAATTTATCCATGAGAAAGTAAAAGCCTGACATGAACCAGTTAAAAAATTGAAATGCTCCTCAGGGATTCTCTTCTGCTGAAAAGGCACTAAGGTCAAGCAAGTCCTTACAGCTTTCAATGATTAATTTCCATCTTATTTCAGATCATAGAAAAATGTGGGAAGATTTTCATCTCGTGTAATAAGGTTAGTATAATCTCGACCCCAAAATCAGGTAAAGCTTACACAAGAAAAAAAATATATAGGCCAGTCTTACATATGCATATAGATGTCAAAATCCTAATTAAATTTCTCAGTGTTTTGAGTCCAGCAGTGTAATAGGAGTTAAGCTCAAGAAGAGCTCATACTAGGACCGTAAGGATAATTCAGCACTAGACAAATCTTTCAGAGTAATTCACAACAGGTTGAAAGAGATAGACTATATGTAATCTCTCAGATGCTGAAAGCAGTCTATAAAATTCAACACCTACACTTGTTATAAAGTCCTTATTGAAAACTAGGAACAGGAGAGAAATCACCTAACTTGATAAATATTTTCTCTCAGAAACTTAAAAGAAACAGATTTTATTTTTAAACATTAGACACATGCTTTTTAAGTTCAAGAATAAGAGAACATGCTATCACTATTATTGCAGTATTAGAGTGTGAGGAAATAGGAGGCACAATATGTAACTACTAGAATGAAAAAGAGCGAATTGCACCTGACATTCTTGTTTAAAACACTCAAGAGAATTCACTGGAAGATTGAACTAATAACCTTTAGCCAAATGGAAACAGGATACGAGATCTCCATTCTCACACAGATTTGCAGCGGACCTAGTTCCCAAGCCTAAAAACCTGTAGTTCCAGGAGCACCTTTTTTTTTTTTTTTTTTTTTTTTTTTTTTTTTTTTTTTTTTTTTTTTTTTTTTTTTTTTTTTTTTTTTTTTTTAGATTTCCAAAAATCTCCAAAGGAGAATTATATATTTCAAAATGCATTTAACTGTGCGATTGAGGCACTTTCACCAATCTTTTAGTTGGAAATAACCCAATAACATGTTAAAAAGGCAGATACCATGCGGAGAATCTAATAGAATTCTATAATGTCTTCCTGGCAATTAAAATGCTGAATTTAAAATCATATGAATTGATACCAGCATTTCACAGTTACTATGTGCATTTCAAAGATGAAATACATAAAATCTCACGTTAGATCGTATTAACAGATGAACATTTTCAGTTGTTTTGATGATAGGAAACACTAACGTGGAAACTTAATTAAGAAAAATGTTATTCCCCAAACAAGAATTCCATTCTTCTCATTAGTTGATCTGTATTACAAAAAAGTACTTAAATTGTTACTGTTACCATATTTTAAATTGCATCAATAAGAAATCTGTGAAAATTTGTTTTCCTTCTTGTTAAACAAGTATCTATATAATATCCTTCAGTTTGCCTCTTAGTCTGCAAAACCTAAAATATTTACTATCTGGTCTGTTACAGAAAAAAAGTGCTGCCTTCTGTAGCCAGTTGTCCATACCCGGCAATGTCTCTTTTAATAATTCACATTGTATTGTTTCATTCTTGTTGTTTCTTTCCCCTTCTGCTTTTTTTCTTGTTGTACCTTCTCTATATTACACATACGTGGTGATGACACATTTATAAGTAGTTACTGCTCATCATGTCTTGATGTAATATCTTTATGCATAAGTTCTTTGGTACACACTTGCTCAGTTACCTACATAAACTAAAAGGAGGCTACTAGCATTTGGAAAGGACCAAGTGGGTAGTTTGAAAACGAATCAAGGTGGAGGGTTTGGAGGAAACTGAAAACATATATGATGTAGAGGTCTGAGAACACATCTTAAGAGCTCAGAAAATTTGTTGATGAACTAAAATGCATAGCTGTAGCCCTCCTACGAGGATCATAGATGGGTATAGGTAGAGTAAGCTAAGCCCTTCGGTGTGGGAAATGGCTGTGATACTTCTGCCTTCCTGAGGTCTGGCCTCCTGCCTTTTCCATGGGACCCTGCCAAGTCAATATTTCATAGACTACAAGTCAGCTCAAAGAGAGAGCCAGTCTTGGCTTCTGTGTAGGTGGACTTATGTCTGTAGCAGCATGTGAGTCATTATCAGGATCTCTGCTGTTGAGGAATGGAGAGAAAGGATTTTTTTTCCTTTCTCCCCTTAAGAGAATATATGCTAGGTACAATTATGGGGACAAATCAACATCTACCAAGTTGTGTAGAAGAACAAATTATGGTCCAGGCCTGTTGGCTCATGCCTGTAATCCCAGCACTTTGGGAGGCCAAGGCAAGTGGATCACCTGAGGTCAGGAGTTTTAGACCAGTCTGGCCAACATAGTGAAACTCTCTCTCTATTAAGAATACATAAAATTAGCCGGGTGTGGTGGCACACACCTGTAATCCCAGCTACTCAGGAGGCTGAGGCAGGAGAATCACTTGAACCTGGGAGGCCGAGGTTGCAGTGAGCCGAGATTGCACCACTGCACTCCAGCCTGGACATCAGAGCAAGACTTTGCCTCAAAAAAAAAAGAAAAAAAGAAGAAGAAGAAAGAAAATTATGTTTTACTTTTCTGTTTCTTAAACATGAATTTCCTTGCATACTTTCACAAAAGTTATTTTAAATCTCTTTTAAAAATACCTAGGTATAGCAGTAAGAGGATTCATCAGTTGCTGAGTTTATTACTGGAGATGATGATGTAGCTTGTGTGTGTGTAGGAATACTCAGTGGCGGTCTGTTTTTAGCCCTGTTATCTTCTTCCTGTTTTCCTGAGAGGCATTGTCTAAAATATACTTATCAAACAACTAAACTCTAAATATGATTGGAGGGAGGAATTCTTTCTTATTTTTTCTTTATACTTATTTTGTATTGTATTGTATTTATACTTCATACATCTATATGTATTTATATGTAATGACATTAAGATTACTTGTTTTTAAATGCAGTCATTTTTATTGATTTGCATTCCTCCTGTATTTCAGTTCCTGATGATAATTCATTATTGCTGCTGCGGGCAGAGTTATATTTGATCACGAAGAACTATGAGCAAGCTCTCCAGGATGCCAGCACAGTTTGTCAGAATGAACCTCTCTTGATTAAGGTATTTGTATTTATTAGTCTTGGAGATAATCAATATAAAGTTTATAGGATTTTCTTAAAAATTAAAGTAAGATTATTGTGATCAGGTACCTGTAGATAACATGCATTTCCCTCAAATTACTGTACCTACATTTAGCAATCCACTTCATAAAGCAACCTAATTTAAAAGACTAAATCTCCAACTGGATTTAGCTGAGAAACACTAATGTTGATTACACTTAATAGATATTTAACTGAATAATATGCTCTCTACATTGAAAAAATATATAAACAAAGTCATCAAATTTTATAAAGTTATAAGTGAAGAGAAAATATTCAAAATTACAACGTAAATAGGAAGATCACTTAATGATCATGATTAGCTGTTGGGTTCTCATATGCATATGAGCAAATCAATGCTTTTGGTAAAGGGGTTAACATTTTGTGTACATTTTACACTAATTTTAGTCTCTGTGCTTTGATTGGAAAGGTTTAATATTTCTGTCTCTCAGGACAAAAAATGAACTTTGCTGATCTGAGAATGATAGCTTAAGTTGTACTTGAAGAAGTTTAAGAAGCCAAAGAATAAAAGCTTTTTCATGAATCTTTGAATTTTAAAGTGTTAAAGAACTTGTGATGAAATTAACAGCTAGAGCATGCTCTATTAGTCAGTTAATAACTAAAAATATTTATTCTGCTATATTACTTTATATCATCTTTGCCTTAGAAACATTAAAGAGACAATAAACCAGGTTAGTAGTCAGGCTCTGGGAAGCCTGCCCTTCTTCCCTCCCGTCTTTTAAAACAAATGTTTTCAGATTAGCCTGAGTGTCAAGTTCAATCTGGGGTAAGCCCAACAATGGGAGCAGATGTTTGTTGGACTAAGTTCAGAAATCTATGTTGTTGCTTGTTTGCTTTCCTAAAACAAAATCTGGACTTCTACTTCAAATGCCTTTTCTCATATGCCTTCACCCATTCTTTAAAATTATGTTTTTAATTGGCAAACAAAAATTTGTATATATTTATCGTGTAATATGTTGATCTGAAATATGTATACACTAAGAAATGGGAAAATCAAGTTAATTAACATGCATTACCTCACATACCATTTTTTGGTGAGAACACTTAAAATCTATCCTCTCAGCAGTTTTCAAAAATACAATACGTTGTTACTAACCATAGTCAACATATTTTATTGCAATAGATCTCTTGAACTGATTTCTCCTGTTTAGCTGAAATTTTGTATTTTTTGACCAACATCTCCCCAGTTCTTGCCTGCCTCCCTTCTTCTAAGGTAATTTCTATCAGTAATGATCAAGCCTTAGTTATTATTAATTATAACTATTCTTTCTGACTAACAGCCCTGCGTTGCCCTCTGAAGCTAGATTCCTCTCCATAGTATTATTCGTTGAGCTAAAAACTTGACAGTATGTCTCTGACAAAACATAGACTTAATTCCTACAGAAACACATGGCTTGTTGTAATTTTTTTTTTTTTTTTTTTTTTTTTTTTTTTTTTTTTTTTTTTTTTTTTTTTTGAAATGGAGTCTTACTCTGTCGACAGGCGCCAGGCTGGAGTGCAGTGGCACAGTCTTGGCTCACTGCAACCTCCACCTCCCGCGTTCAAGCAATTCACCTGCCTCAGCCTCCTGAGTAGCTGGGTCTACAGGCATGTACCACCACGCCCAGCTAATTTTTTTTGTATTTTTAGTAGAGACAGGGTTTCACTATGTTGGCCAGGATGGTCTGGATCTCTTGACCTCGTGATCCGCCCTTCTCGGCCTCCCAAAATGCTGGGATTACAGGCATGAGCCACCGCACCTGGCCTATTGTAACTTTTTAAGGGAGGCAGCAAATGACTATTTAGTGTTGGTGATGGTGGTCATATCTGCAGGGTTTATTGCAAATCTGTGGACCTCAGTTCTTGACAGATGCCCAGTGAAGAGCAGCTTCAGCCAAAACATAGTTTAGTAAGTTTAAGATAGTAAAACACAAATTCTTAGTGTATTATTATAACTAAGGATTAGGGAAGAAGTGCTACTGGAAGATAAGTTAAGGAAATGGGAAGTCAGTTGACTGAGGGGAAGACTGACTAAGGTGGCTGAGTGTGGTCAAGCTGAGATGGAAGCTGGTTTAGAATCAGGCACTTTGAGAAGTCCTTTTAGATTCTGAGGGGAGGTGGGGATGTTACAGCAGTGTGTCTTATTCAAGCAAAACTGCCCTTTCAAGCAGCTAGTCATGGCTAATATTCATCATGGCTAATGAGTCAAAGCTTTTGGAGCAACTGGAGATAAGCCACTCCCAGCAAAATATTTGCCCATTTGCATAAATAGATATAGGCACATGATCAGTTTGAGCTTATCCAAACATCAAACCTGTAAGACTTAAAATTACATAAAAGCCAGTTAATTCAGTTAACAAACATTTACTGATACACTGTGGTATCAAAAATGCAAATCTTGATTGAGATTCTGTGCACATGTATGAAATACTTGAAACTTTATGTGAAGTTCTCTGTACATATAATACAGTATTCTTTCAGAAGTTTTGATAATCAAAGCAAATTTAGACACTACTGAAACATGAAAGTTGGGGACTTTTACAAGGCCTGAAAGGGGCCCTAGGAACTTCGTATTCATAATTTTGTACTCTTCCTGACCAGGTGCAGTGCCTCATGGCTGTAATCCCAGCACTTTGGGAGGCTGAGGCAGAAGGATCACTTGAGGTCAGGAGTTCAAGACCAGCCTGGCCAATATGGTGAAACCCTGTCTCTACTAAAAATACATACACACACACACACACACACACACACACACACACACACACTAGCCAGGCGTGGTGATGCACACCAATAACACCAGCTAATCAGGAGGCTGAGGCAGGAGAATCACTTGAACCTGGAAGGTGGAGGTTGTAGTGAGCCGAGATCGCGCCACTTCACTCTAGCCTCGGTGACAGTGAGACTCCATCTCAAAAAATAATAATAATAACAATTTTGAACTTTTCCTTAAACAGACTTTCCAAATTATGTAAGATTAAGGCTCCACAAAAATTGAATCTGCTCTTACGAAAGGAGAATAAGATAATTAGTAAAACTTCACATTTATTATAAATGTAAAGTCCCATAGAGGAATCGTTGATTGTCTGAAGTGTATTTGAGACTTCAGGGAGCTCAGGGATGAAACCGATGATTTGTTGTCTAAAATACTCATCATGTGTTTTGAAATGGCTGTTCTTCTAGAGAGCTGCAAGGTAAGGGATGTGATGAATAGACACTTAGCAAATGTTAGGAGAGATGTTGGTGCTGGAGATGGAGCCTGGGCACCATCAGCACGGTCATGGTATTTAAACAGTGGAGAGAGAAGTCTGGTAAGCTAGGACCTGAAAATGGGCCTTTACATTTACCCATTAGTGGCTACCAATGTTCTGGAGCATTTTTAGTACAGAAATAATTAAAATGATGGCAACAGGGGTTGTGGTTTACCTCTAGTAACGGTGAAGGAGTGAAGTGGTCATGTGAACCCAGAGGGGAAAACAGTTATAAAAACTGGATTAAAAAAAATACATTGTAAAGCATCGGAAAACAGAAGCTGGAGCAGAGTTTCTAAAAAACCTGCACATGAAAGGGATAAGAACTGTGTGGGGGTTTTTTGTTCGTTCTTTTATTTTTGTCTTTTTGGCCCCTGAGTTCTGTCTGTCTCCACAGCTGCAGCTGCAAGAAGACAGTAGTGGGACAAACACTCAGCATCACCACCTAAAAGTACCAGGAGTTCAGAGTTCTAACAGAACAGCTGGAAATTAGGGGAATCCCTAAAAGCAGAGAAATCCCAGAGCAGATGATTCCCAGCTCTGACCAAATCCTGGCTTATTACCAAATTTCATAGGCATTTGGGAGAACCACAAGACTTAAAAAGGAGCTGTGGAAGTTGGGCGCAGTGGCTCACGCCTGTAATCCCAGCACTTTCAGAGGCCGAGGCTGGTGGATCACAAGGTCAGGAGTTTGAGACTGGCCTGGCCAATATGGTGAAACTCAAT